CGGGCCTTTTTGCGCAGTTTGGCCTTCTCTCGTTTGGCTCGGGCTGCTTGCGCAGCTACGGCGGCTTTGGCACGTTCCTGGGTACAGGGTCGAGCATCAGAAACTCCGCGCGCACTGTGGGCATCAATCGCGTACAAGTCTCGCTTTCGATGACGGGGTGCGCTTTCCTTCGGAAGACGCTGTGCGGGCTGAAGCCTATCGGAAGTATGAGCCCGTTGTGTCCTTGCGTATCATGCCCGCTACTGCTGGCACCGGCAGCGTTGCACACAAACCTTGGTGTGATGCACTTCGACCTTCGCGCGAGACTTCTGTTCTTCAGCATCTGCCACACTCTTCGCGAGTTCTACGGCAGCATCCTGTCGAGCCAGATAACATGTTGAGAATCCCACCCGGGGACGGACTGGGGCCGGAATCTGACTTGCCTTGCTCTCGACGAAAGTCTTTGATTTGCGCGTTTTCCCCATTAGTTAGGTTACCTGTGCACCCGTTTTGCGTTATTCGAGTATCCTGTATGTGGCCGCCCTTGTACTTACAGCGCTCGGGACTGATGTCTCAGCCAGTGTGACCGACGGCAGAGAGTAGCGGCCAGGCGGAGATGCGAACTGGAAATTCGCCCTTGAGCGGGGGAGCACCGCTTTTCACGTGGCGATGGCGTCCCAAATCGGGCGACAGGGAAGCGCCCATGGTCTTGTCTGCAGTGTGCTCAGTGCGATGTTCCTTCTCCTCCGACCACTGCATGCACTGACCCCCATCCATTGCTACGCACGCCGTCAGAGCCTAAACCTCGCCGCTGAAACAAACGCTTTCCATATGAACTTCTCGTCAACCGACCACCAGGTCGAGGACGCGGTACCTGTGGCTCGCCGCCCCGCGTGCACTCTTTGCCCTCGGCGTACCGGTCGCGGAGGGGCATCCTCAGGCCTCGTACGCCAGTACCTGAGACCGAGATGTGCTTACGACATTGCGAGGCATCAAGCCTTGGAGCGCGCAAACGCGCCCAGTGATGTTCGAACCGTTCCTTCTCCTGAGGGAACTCCCGCGCTGCACAACCCCCTGCGCGTCTTGCTCGGGCATCGTACCGCCCCTATCGAACCTCGGTAATCTGCGCCTGCGCCCGAGAATTACCTTCTCACATGTATGATCCTATCGCCTGGATTCGGAAGGCTGCTTGCGTTAGACCGACGGAACATCATCTCACCTTCTCAGGCGATTATGTACCCGGCGGTTCTTCCCCTCGAGATGAGTGAGGTCTCATCGTACCTTGCGGCATATAAAGTCTCCCCCTCCTCGAGGTTGAAAGTCAGTGCACCCACATTCACTCTCAAGCATCCACAGCAGCTTCCACTTCACTGCAAACACCCATCCACCATGTGCTACATTCGCCAGTGAGTCCTAATGCCTTCCTTTGAAGACGAACCCGCTAAAAACTCTGCAGGCTCTGCTATGTCTACACCAAGTGTGGTCACCTCCTTCCCATGGTGAGGATCATTGGTGTGTAATGCATTCGTACGGGTTACTCATGCACTACGTATAGCCCGACGAGCAGGTACACCACAATGACCCGCAGCAATCTGCGACCTTTTCTGACGCGTCTCGTGTCGTACAGGTCTCGTGCAACAGCCCGCGCTGTAAGTTCAGCCCGGAGCATCCGAAGACCTGCCACGGCGCCAGCTGTAAACAAACGTGCAAACAGTTGTCAGTCCTGCTGGCCTTCGATTCAATACGCGTTACTGACCACGGTCCTATCTATCACAGCCGTCAACACCCGCAGCAACATTGTAAGCAATAAATCAACTACTGTGTTGTTCTTTTTCTCATCACGGTATCCTCACAGCGCCGCAAATTCATGGCTTCTGCCCTTCTTGCGGCGGCCGTTGAACCGATCAACATGTCATAAAGGACTTCGAACGCTTTATTGCCCTTTCTTGTAGCCCTGGCATACGGACTCAACAAGTCCATCCGCACCGTACCTCACCTACTGTCGCCATAATATTAATGCTGGCACCGCTATGTAGACTCTTGTATTGCCAAGTATCTATCACCCAGTTCTTGAGTCAATGACATTCTTGACCCCAAGTCTTCCCCGAGGAGCCCGGTCACGCGCCGGGTTCCGTGCCACAGCGCACTACAGAAGTCATACGTCGCACTGCACTCTGACACTGGAATCACTGTTAGGTCTCTTTCCCCGAGAGGTAGCATTCGCCCGTTATGCCCGCCGCGGTGTACCTTCACCGTCGAGCTCTGCGTCGGGGCTGTCGGCCTGTCCACCACTACCACCACCATCGACGCCGCCGACGCCGCCATAACGGCTCCTATGTGGCGATTCGGCATCAACAAGGTCTGCGCCCGGCCTGGGGACCTCGGACGAAGCGCGCCCCTGAGCTCGATGCGGTGCCGTGGCCCTCGTGCCGCCGCCGACCCTTCCCGAGCATCGTAAGGACATTGATTCTTGGGGGTGAGCAGGGCATGCCGCACCGCGTGGCCCCCGCGTGCGCGGGCGTCGATCTCGCACTGATCACCCGAATCAAAGAACCTCTGCTTCTCTGCCCACGCTCGTGCCTGGGAGCCAAAATCGGCAAGCATTGTTCTTCCCGCGATGCTGGGGCCCTAAGTGCGGCTCGGGGCGCGCGCGCGCGCTCATGGCGAAGGTCGTGATTTCCGGGCTACCGGTATAATCCATTTGGGCGCGCTCGATCCCGCGTTTGGGTGAGACTGCGCGGTGTGCATTGCTTGATGCGCGCTCGCGCTCGTGCATCGCAGGAAAGTCGGGAAACGTCGGATTAAGGAGTCGGTGCACTCTTGAAATGCAAGGTTTCCTACCGTTCCTCGGCATAAATACCACGCAGCCGGTATGACACGTAGGGGGAAGTGTCACGTCGGAGGCACCGCCTCCTGTAGAAGTAGTCCAAAGTAGAACCACGTAACACCGCCGCCACGGTATATACGGGAAGGGCACTTCGGTCTCCTAATGATATGCCTTTCCAGGGCTTACGTCCGCGCCATGACGACACAGAAGGTCAAAGGGGGCCGAGGGCGGACGCGATAGGCGGCGGAGACAACGCCTCACTTGGAAGAAGGCTGACGTACGTCGGCGTGCCACTGGTACCACTCCGAAGTGCTCCGAAGGCGACAAGTGTGTGGGCTAGGCTAGAGTACGTTGGCAGCTTAGCTATGCGTACATTCCGGGCATACAAGTTGTCACCGGATTGACGAGTCATGGTGTGACACTCGAGACGTGCCTCAAGCGTTGCACATTTGTGCGGCTTCGCCTCCGCTGTTATGAGTTCCGTATGAGACGTTGCGAGGTGTACATACCCGGAATCAGGCCGCAGGAGCTCGGAGGAACTGTCAAATGGAGCTCGTCCGCAAGCAATCAGCACTGAAACGTACGTCAAAAACAAGTGACTCGATGACCAGAAGGCGGGTCGACCAGACGACGACCCACATGTCAGAGCTAGGAAGGATTTCGTGTCGGACTTCATTGACCGCGAGCTTCTGAGCTTCAATCATCGAACTCTTCTTTCTGCCCGAGCACAGTCAATGCAGCACTGCGCAAATCAAGCCAGCCAGGCTGCGCGAGGTGGAGTAGTACTAGAATCAGGCATAGTGCAGCCCAGTGTCACCCGGGGCGCCCCCTGGAGGCAGTGACCGCAAGGTGATCATCGCATTGCGGGGTGACCACAAGAAGCCCTTTCGACAGCTTCTCCGAGCGGTCCGTACGCAAGCTCGCTTCTGTATCACGATCAGCATCGGGAGGTGAGCTCACCTTGCATCGCCTGTCAAGGATGGCCTGCCATTAATCGAAGGGACGCTTCGCAAGCCCAAGGCTTGACGCTCCGCACCCGCAGAGCGCATGCGGTGAGCATTCGGCACAGATGGGAACATTCGGGTGTGGAGAACCTGTACTCGGAGGATGCTGACAGACCGCAGGATGCTTCTGCATACAGGCGTACGTCAACAGCGTGATACGGTGTTCGCAGGTACCGCATTAGCCATCGTGACGGCCGAGTCGTGGGGTGTGGGAATCCGACGATGTATCCTGTGAGGTGGGTCGTAGTAAGCGTACGATCGCATGACGATGTAACATGAGATTCTGGTAGCATGTGGCACGTATCGGGCCTCGCAAACCTAATAAGCAGCCTACTTGACGTGCCGCAGTTTGCAGTGCATGCATCACCTCTGCGGCGTCTTGACTGTCAACCACCTCGTGGGAGAGTGTGGCACCCACATTACCGGACTACTTGCTTGCCATTTGTCACGTACACCGAGATTGACCAGCCTAGCGCCAGCTACGCATCGGACGTCAATGGCCGAGCGAGCTGTATCGTATGGCTACTCCAAACTCGGGATGGAAGAAGTGTAAGGTGAAGATCTTACGTGCGGTATCAATAGTGTTATAACGCACCTAGTCATGCTCTACTACAGGTCATTCGTGCGATGTCTACACGGTCGCATAGCCTCACAGAACCTCATAGATCCCGTGAAAGAAGCTGGGCACTAATTAGCCTCAAGAGGCTACAAAATTTGCCAACTGGGTGAGCAGGAACAAGCACTCGAGCTGTCGTCTCACCGCTGCATCATATATGACTTCTAGGGAGGGCCAGGCATCTTTGAGGAATAGAGGCGAAGTACTTCTTGTTGAGCCGACCTTCGGGTCCGTCTTATTGGAGAAGCTCTTAGTCGCCGGGTGTCAGCCGCTAGCAAGGAACTTGTTGATTGATCCTCCTGTGCTTCAGGAACACGACACGATGGTACAGCATCCAGCCGCCGCAGCCTCACAAGATGAGTTCGGACACATTTAACTGAGCCTGGTAGCGGAAAGAATGAGGACGGAACACACGAGCGCCTGAGTTGGATCATGCCGGACTACTTCGCTCCGTCGGATTGTGTATTTTTTCTGAGTCTGACTCTGAGCGCGGTTCGATGGGAAGAGGTTGGTGGTATTTGGAACTGTAACAAATCGTTGTTATATTGCTGTAAGGGTGTTCAGAAAACAAAAAAGGTGCTACCAGGGTTCGAACCTGGGTTTCGGGAACGTGATGCATCAAAATCCCGAGTGATAACCACTACACTATAGCACCGCACAATTCTGATATTTTTGGCATGATCCAGAGACGTACTACCAAAAAGGCACTCCTTTAGTTCGTTCGGAGCACGAGACTAGCACCCCTCACTGTGCCTACAGTATCAAACTCGTCCATTTCCAAGCAAGCTAGTTTGTACATGACGCTTGTTGTGTTCCGACCACCATCATGCCTAATGACATAGCGCCCTCAATTCAATGCAACGAGCCATGCTTGAGCCCGGAATCTAAGACATTCTCTTACGCTCTCTCGGATACTGTGCCTTGACATCCTGCGAGCATCGGGCACGTTACATCCCGCGACGCCCTTGGCTTTTACGAGGAGGTACGCATCAAAACCAGACCAAGGAGGTGCGACGATCCTGATATTTGCTCGCAGGTCGACCTGCAAACTGCGAGTTGGCCGGAAAGTCCGGGTCTCACATTAATCACGAGGATCATGTTACCCCACCCCCGCCCCCGAACCCCGGATTGGCGGTCGTTGCCCCCACTCTCCTTATAGTGACTGGTCCGGGGATGGGATTGCGGACGCACCTCCGAAACTCTGCATGGGCAAGCCCGCCTCGGGGTACTGAACGACCGCGCACGTCGGCGCGTTTCGTGGCTTCGGCCACTGTTGGGAGAGTTCAGCGCAAAGAACGGCGGTCCCAAGACTCTGATAGGCTATAGAGTGTCTGTTCCAGGTACTTCAGGCGCGCCGCGCCGTCATCGTCATCAATTCACCTGCGTCCTTTGGGCGGCCATCAGAGGTGAGCATGCGCTTGCTGTGTCATGTGAGTCCCATCCTCGGTCAAGTGAGCCCAACGCGAACAGCGCGACGTCGGAGAAGCGAACGCTGGAAGCTGCGTCGAGGCCAAGAGGCCCGCCGCGACGCCCGACGTCAGCGCACCGGAGCGCGCTTTATAACTGGCGGGCTCGCGACCAGGGTTCGCTTGTACGTACGTGCACTCGCTCGCCATGTACCTCCCCAGAGCTCGCGTCGCGCTGCCTCTCGCGGTGCTGGGCCAGTTTGCGCTCCTGACCGGCGCGACGGTCACCGACCCTGCCGTCCTTGACGCGTGCCCCGGCTACAAGGCGAAGAACGTGTTCACGTTTGGTCCCAAGCTCACCGCCGACCTCGTTCTCGCTGGCAAAGCGTGCAACGTGTTCGGCAACGACATCGAGAAGTTGAAGCTCGAGGTCACGTACGAGAACAGTAAGTGCCTTGCCTCCCGCTTTCGTACGCATACTGACATTCCGTGTACTAGAAAACCGGATTCATGTGAAGATTACGGATCCTGCGGATAAGCGTTACGAGGTACCCGAATCTGTTGTGCCGCGGCCTCACGCAGACATCTTCGCGTCCCCGCACAGCGCCGCTATCCGATTCAACTACACCGCGTCTCCGTTCTCGTTCTCCATCTACCGCGTGTCGACCAACGAAGTCCTTTTCTCGACCGCGTCCCACCCCATCATCTTCGAACCGCAGTACTTGCGCGTAAAGACGAACCTTCCCGCCGACGCGAACCTCTACGGTCTCGGTGAACACACGGACAGCTTCCGCCTCCAGACCCACAACTACACGCGTACCTTCTGGTCGCGTGACGCTTACGGGGTTCCTACTGGCACTAACCTGTACGGTAACCACCCGATCTACTTCGAGCACAGGACAACTGGTACCCATGGCGTATTCCTCCTAAACTCGAATGGCATGGACATCAAGATTAACGACACCGAAGGCCTTGGCACCACGCTCGAGTACAACGTCATTGGAGGCGTTCTCGACTTCTACTTCCTGGCTGGCAGTGAGACCGATCCTACCGAAGTCGCGCGTCAGTACGCGGATGTTGTCGGCCTGCCGGCTGAGGTGCCTTACTGGTCCTTTGGATTCCACCAGTGTCGTTTCGGTTACCAGAGTACGTACCTCTGTCTGCTCCCCCCACGACTTACCAATTTAACGTTCTTGTATAGGTTTCGTTGACGTTGCAGGCGTCATCTCGAATTACTCGGCAGCTGGCATCCCCCTCGAGACGATGTGGACTGACATTGGTACAATCGTGAACAAATAGACTGCTCAGCTCGCACGCTGACTGTTAACGCAGACTACATGTACAAGCGTCGCATCTTCACCGTGGACCCTGACTACTTCCCCCTTGACCGGATGCGCGAGATCGTCGACTATCTCCACAAGCATGACCAGCACTTCAGTATGTCTAGAATCTTCGACTACAAGCATTACGAGACTAACGTGTTGATAGTCCTCATGACCGACCCTGCGGTGGCTTATGTCGACGATGGTACCTACGGTCCCTTCGATCGGGGTACTGAAGCCGATATCTGGCTCAAGGCTGCGAACGGCAGCAGTCCGTTTTTGGGTGCAGTCTGGCCGGGTATGTCATCTGAAAGCTCAGACCAAGAGCCATTGCTGACGTGCCGCCTATACAACAGGTGTCACGGTATTCCCAGGTAAGCTAGCTTGTTAGTCGGAGAGCTTGGAATGATCCATACTAACAATTTCACCAGACTGGTTCAACAAGAAGACTCAGGAGTGAGTGTTTCATGTGCTTGCTCGCTCGTCATGTATGATTAATGTGAGCCTTTAGGTATTGGAATAACGAGTTTAAGCTGTTCTATAACCCCGAGACCGGCCTTGATGTCGATGGAGTCTGGATTGACATGAACGAGCCTGCGAGCGTAAGTTTCTGAGTGTCACCGGCTGCGACGTCATCTCACTACCTCTATGCGCAGTTCTGCAACTACCCTTGCACCGACCCCTTCCAGCAAGCCATAGAACAGGACCTCCCACCTGCGCGTGCAACCCTGCCTCCCGCTCACGACACCCCGATCTTCGGGAACTCGCAGCTAAGCAAGCGCGTTGACCACAGTCACGACGATGTACAAAACCCTCCTTACGCCATCGCGAACGCTGCCGGCACGGGCGCGCTCTCCGACAAGACGGCATATGTCAGTTCCCTTGGTGCCTGGCACATCAATGTCTTTCATTGACAGTATAATCATAGACCGACGCTCAGGGTTTGGCTTGGATAAATCCGAGATGATCCATGCATCCGTGGGAAAAGACATCCGCGGATGCCTGCATCCGTGTACATCCGTTCCCACAACCTCAGGGTGACATGACATAAAGCATCTCAGTCAGCAGCCACAGTCACGGTCGCGAGTCGCGACTGGAGCGCAGTGTCAAGTGAGCAAGTGAAGTACAGAGTTACAACATAGCCAGGATAACGCGCGTGATGACTCAGTTGACTTTCTTGTACTCATTTGTAGCTACTTCATAAGTATTTTGCAATAATGGACCGGATGGACATGGTTTATAGCTTGCCGTTGGACCGCGAGTCGATTGAATGCAGCGCGCGCCGCGCGGTATGCTGTTTTGCTTGTGCCGAGGTCGCGACTCCGGCGCAAAGAGGCTCGCAGCCATCTCTGGTGCTTTATGGCAAGTGCAACATATATGCGAGCTTTTGCGAAAGGTGCTCTCGCGAGCATGCGCTGCGCGCACACATCGCCAGCTACCGACGCTCTATGCAGCCACGAAAACTGGAAGGACGGCTCGAGTTTGCACATTATAATCCGAGCCAAATACCGTCACGCGGTAATGTAAAACTAGGTACTATGTATGGAACTTGTAATGGAGAGCTCAGGCCATGGTAATCCTGCCAATGCATCGATTGGTGAGAGTCAAGAAGTCGCCGGTACTCGAGTGCAGTGCGCGCGATGCCGCCGCGACCAGAGCGCGCGCGTATGGGACGCCCGTTACCCCTGCGTGACCATTCGTGACCTCACAGAGCGTGGGACATCTGTGAGTGCGAACGGATGGCTTTTCGTGGGAACGGATTGCTGGGAAACCGATATCATCCGCGGATGACCATTGATGGCACTATCCAAGCCACACCCTGCCGACGCTGTGCACGCGAACGGCCTCATCGAATATGACACGCACAACCTCTATGGCACGATGATGTCGACAGCCACCCGCGATGCGATGCTCGCGCGCCGCCCAGGACAGCGCCCCCTCATTATCACCCGCTCGACGTTCGCGGGCGCAGGATCTCGGGTTGGCAAGTGGCTGGGCGACAACCTGAGCGAGTGGGTTCAGCTCCGCCAGTCGCTCTCCGGTATCCTTGGAATGGCGGGCGTGTACCACGTCCCCATGGTTGGCGCCGACATCTGTGGCTTCGGTCAGTGCTGATAATCCGGAAACGTACGCGCCTGGCGTGTTAACGTACTCGTTTCTGCAGGCGCGAACACGACTGAGACGCTCTGCGCCCGCTGGGCGATGGTCGGCGCGTTCTACCCCTTCATGCGTAACGTGAGTCCAGCCCTCATTTCCGTGAGGCGAGGAGCTTACCGTCGTGCAACCAGCACAATGGCGATACCTCCATCAGCCAGGAATTCTACCGCTGGCCCACTGTTGCCCAGGCCGCACGCAACGCGCTCGACATCCGCTACCGTCTCATCGACTACATCTACACCGCATTCCACGACGCGCACACCACCGGTACGCCGGTGCTGCAGCCGCTGTGGTACCAGTTCCCAAAGGACACCAACACTTTCGGGATTGATACCCAGTTCTTCTACGGCGACTCCATCCTCGTCTCCCCGGTGCTCGAGGAAAACTCGACGAGCGTGCGGGCGTACTACCCCGATGCCCCCTTCTATGACTTCCTCGACCTCATGAAGACGCACATCGAGGGCGGCGGCTTCGTCGAGCACAGCGACGTCAACTTCACCTCGATCCCCGTCTCGATCAAGGGTGGCGTCGTCCTCCCTCTCCGCGAGAAGGGCGCGATGACGACCACAGAGCTTCGCAAGACCGACTTCGAGCTTGTCGTTGCACCCGCTGCCGACGGCACAGCATCCGGCGCGCTTTACCTCGATGATGGAATTTCTATCAAGCCGAAGAGCAAGACGTCCGTCGACTTCACGTACAAGCACAAGAAGCTCAACGTCAAGGGCACCTTTGGCCACCCCACTGGCGTCAACGTCTCCCGCGTGCGCTTC